CGTCAGTCCTATTGGCTGGTATTGCATGTGAACTTCCAAGTAGCCTCTCTGATTCGTCCAAGGATCCCACTTTAGCATAGAAGTCTCCAGCGACCATTAAGATGTCCGTTGACCGAGCACTTCGGAGCAGTTGAGAGAGGTCCTTGTAGAACTCATCCTTCACTTCTGGCGAACTGCATCTGTCGGTGCATACGCGGATACAACGAATAAAAATCGACGTTTCGTTCTGTAGCTGTTGACGCGTACTGAACCATCCAGACTTGCGGCGCAAAGTCGGCTGTCAATCGGGATCCAATCGAGAAGTGAACGCTCGGCCTTGACACTCAGCGCAATCCCAAAACCAGCAACACCGCGAGCTTCGGATGTCGAATCGCCTGACACACGGAGAGTGAAGCGTGAGGGTGAGGTTGGATCTGTAGAAAGCAAGATGATTGAATTAGAATGTTGCATGCGTGTTTCGGAGACAGAGCATTCATCTAAATGGAAGGTTTCAAGGGTTCTAGCTAAGGCGGCTTGTTGACCAACCTGATAGTGTGCAAACATTAAATGCGGCTAAGTGGAAAGGGGATTTTGGTTTCAAAAATCTGATAGCCTCTGAGGGGTTGGCCTCATTAGTTGAACATTGAGTGGTATCCGATGGATGGCGTAAACAGGATGCATCTCTTAAGGTATGGGAGTGAGAAGAAGAAATAGACAGTTGAGAAAGACGGTTCTCCAAATGGGTTCCTAAGACTTTTGGGCACGGCATACTTCGCGGCTGCCTTCATCGACGAAGAGGTTTTCTTTGGGAACCCTAACCGGAGCCTTCGACTCAAGTCTGACCCACAAGGTAGTGGGGCGTCGATCCAACGCGGGAGCGTAAACGAAGCACCCGTGTGGGAGATTCTAGAGACCTGTCACGCAAGGCCTTTGAATTTCGTTTAGGTTTGTTGTTCGATTGGTGGCTGGGGACTACCCAGCTTGGGTGGGCGGTAGCTGTCCAATGAAGTGCGAAGACTTCTCCCACCATCGAGAGGAAGCCTCAGGTACCCCGCTCCTACGTCCATCTAACGGGGTTTTTTGACCGGTAAACTGCCTCTCATCGTGCTTATTTATTGGAGTAACCTCTCCAGGGGCAGGTGTGGATAGAAAAGGAAGCCAGGAGGTGCCCAAGCAACTGGCATTGTGAGATTGAGCTTCGTCTGGCCTCTACCCTTTGACCTTTCAGGCATGATTGGATCTGCGGCTGAGGAGCCTGTATAGCTCGCAGGGTAACTGAGGCGCGCAAGCCATCACACCACGCCAAGGTGCAGTCTCGTCGTAATGGTACGACAACTCAACAAATGGCAAAGTAGTCCTACAGTTCCACGGGTAAAATCGTTGGATCTGAGCACATAGCCAAAAACTAATGTTGGTGTGACTCAGTTCAAAATTACAGGTTCTATTGTACCACGTACACTAAAGCTGATGACGTATTAATTTCGACACAATTCAGTCTCCGATTCACTGTCTAAAAGAATAGATATTTTCACACACGTCTGAATCCAGACTGTGCCAAACAAACCATGCTACAATAATCTTTATGAAAAAGAAAAACGTTCCATGATTCGTATGTGGGCAGAACTCTTCCAGGTTGCCCAGGCCAACGCAGGTGAATTTCCTTCAGGAATCCACAACCGCTGAAAGGAACACCAATTTCTGAATTCGTGGCCGAAACCGTAATGCAGAAGCCGAGGAAGAAGGCACTACCAAGAATCATACCAAAACTTTCGCTGCGATAAGTTGATGATACATTCGTCTGTTTGAAGAAGTCTGAACTAGAACGAACATACAACATTATCCATAGCACATTCGATGGGATAAACTTCACAATGGAGATCGAGAAGGATAAGCAAGTGGCGTTTTAAAGACATCTTGATAATCAGAACGCCATCAGAAAAACTGGAGACAACTGTCTACGGCAAGGCAACATATACGAATCAAATCCTAAACTTCAAAAGTAATCAGCTACAAAAGATGCTGTGTTAGAACCCTGTGCGGAAGAATCAAACGCATTGCAGCACCGATATACTTAAGAAGAAGTGTTTGTTCGCAATGGCGAACCCCGCAACTTCATCGAAAGAACTCTGGCTCAAAGGTAGAAGGAAACAACAGACGGGGAATCGGGAACAAGAGCGACCCTACCGTACATGAAGGACGTTTCAGAAATGACAGCAATACTGCTCAGATCATATGGAATCCAAGTAGCACACAAACCGATCGCCTGTCTAGGGGGACTTCTATCAAAACCCAAGGAGAGAACACTGGAGAAGGACAAGAGCAGCGTCATCTACAAAACAAACTGCAAGAATTGCCCCAAATACTATATCGGAAAAGAAGGGAGAAAACTGTCAACAAGGATCCGTGAACGCCAATCGGCAGTCAGGAGACATGACCCACTATCGTTGAGTCCCCTCCACGAAGACCAGGAAGGACATCAATTTGACTTCGAATTAGTGAGAATTATCGACCAAGCCCGGTCAAAACACGCCAGAGAATTTCTCGAGGCTTGACACTCTTCAATCAACTCAATAAACAGGCTCATCGAACTGAATCATGTGTACACGTCAATGCAACTCAAGGACCAAATGATGCAAAAAAGGTCACACCTTGACCCGGGAACGGACGGAAACCGCAATCAGGACGAAAGGGCAACCTCCTCCCCTCCCACCATCACACCTTCGCACCAGTTCAACGGCGAACCGAGTCGAACACAGTGAAAACTAGGGACAAAAATAGTCGGTGGAGAAGACTAAATATATAAACGAACGGATACAAGCAGCACATTGCCATTTCACAAGCAATGATGATGTCACCTAGGCTGGTGATGAAACGTTTGCAAACAAATTGCCAAGCTCGGTGAACAGGCTAAATGGAATTCAGTTCACATGAGCAACGAGAACCAATTTTCATTATTTTGTCAATACCTTAAATCGAGTCAACGTCTATCGTTAAGTAACAATTTTTCCACTCTATGATATTTAAGTTCATTAATCGGAGGTGGAGGGTAGAGTATGTGTGTTTTGTCCAAACTCGGTCCGCCTTCGATCGATTCAGTGGGATGCGAAAAACGACATCGAAGGCCTTCTCCGGTTCGATCTTGTGCCCGGTGTCGACGAGATGCCCCACGATCGCAATTGAGCTACAGCCAGTCTTCCCCTAACTTAACTCTCGCACGTGTTACTCCTTAACGCGTTGGGACAAACGCCCTGTGTAACATGCGCCACAGATGTAACACGTAACAGACGGATAACACTAGAGCAAGGGAAGGGAGTGGTAAGCGTTCCAAGAGCTACGAATAATGGTGGTCATTTAAACCTACTCACTCACTAAACAGTAAAAAATAATTATATCTTAATTTTCCACTCCATTGTTGGCCTGTTGCACACCCTGCAAAAGAAACAAAGTTCCATTCAAATTCATGTGTGACGGGCCTAATGCATGGTTGGCTGCCCATCACTGAGAGTGCAAATCTTCGGCGTCTGTCAATATGAGGCGTGTTAGTTAAGGCCTTTCCCTAGATAAGCTTTGAAGTTAAACTTAGATTTTTGATCTAAAAGGAGGTTCCTTGAGGGTATAACAAAACTGATTAGAGAAAAGTTTCCAGGTCACAATAATAACGAACCGTAATTGGATCAAACGGTGAGCACAAAGCCTATTCAGTTGAAGCCACACGCATGATAGTAGTGTAACTGACACGTATAAATAACCGGGAGACAGGTTATGTTAACTGCCTACTTGGGCAATCAGTAGTCTTGCGTAAATTGATTATATATGTGACAAGCTGACTATGGTAGAGAAGCAAGATACTGACGTAATCGGTGGCCTTCGGTAATGTAAACCCAACTGTATGCTTAAAGACCGAAGCTAAGCAAAGATAAACGAATAAGTGATACATTCCAGTGATTTTCAAATGGATATAGCCGGTTCGGTGAACCACTGGCAGTTCACCTCGGGGAGTTGACCAAAAACCCTGATTCCAAACCAACCAAGAAGAGGTGTGCGGATCACACTCACCCACACCTTTGTTGTGGCAGTGGTCACCGGCTCGATTAGGCATCGAGTTTTATTGGACATTAACCAAAGGGCGTATGCTCCGATGTACTGGACACCGATCCACAAAGGATTGCGGTTTTCACACACCGTCCCACTGCTTTGCTGGTCACGCTTTGGTTGACCGAAGGCGCCGGTTAAGAATTTACAAAATTCATCTGTTCTGACCTGGGCAACCTGGTAGTATTCCGCCTACAAACAAATCATGGAACTTTCTCTTTTGTTCTCATTTTACTGTGATTCGTTTGGCTTATAGACTGGATTCACATGTAAGTGAGATACACGCGAAGCACACACGATTCAGTTTTGCCACAAAACATGTATACCCAAAGCGCAATGGGAGAAACGACAATAAAATTCTTATATGAAGATCTTCTTCGCCTATATTTGAAAACTGGTTTTACAGAACACGTTCAAAGCATTCTTTTTTCATCTTGTCACGAAACCCAACCTACGTAAGACACGAATATAGAACATCTGATTAAGAAAAAAGGTTTCCTTTTAAAGTTCCCGCAAAAGGAAAACGTTCATTTGCTATTTATCTGGATCACCGAAGTCGATGTATGCATGAATTGATTGCAACAGTTTGCATGCAAACTGTCTTGCAAATGAGGAATAAAACAGAGCGATTGGTGGGGCGTCGGAAATCAACCATCAGAGAACACGATGTACGGGAGCGTAGGCAGCGTCCATGGGTGTGTTCCGAGTCCCGCAGAGGCTGATATTTTTTTCCGCAAAGCAAGACCTCGATAAAATTCTCATGTTGAGGGTCCCAGCTAAAAATACAACAATTTTTCCCGTTAACGAAAAGCATCTATCTTTAAGAACGACCAAATTTCTTTAGTTTAGAACACTGTGATAAAAATGTGGTAGAATTTTCCTCATTCTGTTTCATTTCGGAGGATTTTAGGGCACATAACGGGGTGGACGAGGATACAGTTTTTACTCTTGTGTTGTGTGAGTACCCTAGGAAAATAAGACCCAGAATGATTACTCTCCAACTAGGTGAAGATTCCTATCCTTGACGAATTGCCTCAGTTACCCGAGTTTTACCAGCATAAGTGATTGCTGCTGAATGGAAAAGTTTTTAGAACTACCATTTAAGAGGAGTATGTTATATCTCTAATGTATAATTAGACCGTGAAATATTTTGCTCATTTCTGGAATTTCAGGAAGAAAGCATTTTGCTCTTAGAATCTTTCTCAATTTGCAATAAACAATAGAGATCTATTGGTCTGGGATGATTTATCGAAATAAAATACCTTGAGAGGCTATCGAAACAACCTGGGTTTGTGGAAAACAGTGTACACAATGGCCTACTAATATCCTTGGTTGTACTGTCCAGTCTGGTTTGGATCTTGAATTTTAGATTAGACCAGAGCATTTATCTACTGAAAGGTTCTGACGCTTGCAAAAAATAGCGAGAGTTAGTGGCGATACTTTGGAAGGGTTTTTACCCTGGGATAGTGCTTCGTTGGAATAAGCAGTGTTTGATTGTTTTTTGCCCCTTGTATACCATTTCTGTATGATATATTTTACTCTGGTTTTGATTGATTATACAGAAAGGTTTTGAAAAGCTTTTTTCAGCCGATTCTCTTTAGGGGTAAGTTGTTACCTATACAGATTCACTTTCTGAGCACCGGGAGAGGAGAACTATAGATGCTCATAGGGTGAAACCATCTGCAAGGATTAAAATGCCCATCTTTCTGGTGGTATGGGCTCACGTAGGTTATGCCGCTATGTATCCATTATATAACCCTGATTGCCATGCCGTTGCACCTTTTTCTGCAACTATGAGTAAACTGTTGATCATGCATTTCACTCAGTTTGTACGGCTAGTACATTCGTGTGTCTCAGACTTGATTATCAATTGTGATCTAATTAAAATCGTTGGGACGAATAAATTTTGTATATCTCAAGTAGAAATGAAGAGATTCACACTTCAAAAACTCCATGAAGGCACTGCAAATCTCTTGTACCCTTGTTATTAATCGTTAGCATCACCCGCGCTGTGTCCATGAGAAACCGAGTTGGTGACTCGATGCGCCAAATCTTTTGTACTATTTCAGGTGGCTCTAGTTCTGAACATTCCAGTGAAGGATGAATGTAGTAAGCGAACTTCGTTCATATCTTCAGGTACAGTTATTTGACAAAAAATAAAGTTGATATCCAATTCAACAGCCCTTTGAAATAGAGTTCTGTTAAATAGATTAACACCGCGGTTTCGTGAAGCATTGTGGAACTGCGTGAATTGTTTCTAGCTCTCGTCCCGCAGACGAAATTTTGGGATCAGTTTCTCAGCGATGGACTTTGTGCTACAACGAGCAGTGCTATCAACGGAGGATTTCAGTCTCAATGGATAACACGTGTTAGTCATCCGCAAAAGATTTATTGTGTATCATTCTTATACAAAGGGTGAAATTGAACACAGTGCATAAAATGAAGATGTACAATTTACTCAAATGTTTGGTTATTCTAAATGGTTCGTGTTTGAGTGCAAAATTTTGTTTTAGGCACCTATATGTTTAGTAAAGATTTGTAAAACTAGCCTCCTAATGGTGAAGTTGGGACTGAATGACTGTTTCACATTATGTTCTCGATGCTTGTCCTGTTTGCATCTGGTAGCAATCGTCATCGCTATGTTCTGAACGAAGAATACTATTTCTCACCAAGTATTTATGGCTGAGTTGTGCGGACAAACAATTGGTGTCAAAAATGAGCTACCGAAAGCTCCTATCTTCTCGATGTATTGAAAAATTGTGAATGTGGTACGATCAGTCGAAAAGTTTGAAAAAAACTGATGAGCGCCCTTCATGCTGATTCAAGCCGATCACCTGATTGTTTCCTTGAACTGCTTTCCGTAGAATCATTCACGGAAGCTTTTGTCGGCTTCTTCATAAACTATGGAGAAGAAGATCGAAAAATCATTATTTTCTAGTGTCTAATTGAAATCTTACTCGTGGAAACCTTTTGTTCTGGTTTTCCGCAAATTGTTTGAACGCTTCATAGCCATGCATTTGAATCATCTGATCGTAGAGGGATACGGAACGTTTCTTCAGTTCGGCTTCCTGTGAATCACTGAGGATTGGGGACGGTTGCAGGGGCTCTTCGGCACGCTGAACCTTCCACTCATTCGGAGGAAGAAACCAAGCCCCGTAGCGTAGTTTCTCGTATTTCTGAAATCCAAATTTAGGAAGAAGTAAAAGTACTGTGCACTGTCTGAAAACATAGTGCCTTCAGTTTCTAAAGGGATATCCAGGATATCCAGAACGGAAATAAAACTCAGATGATGGCAGTAATACTCACATTACATAAATGTTATGCGCCGATGCATCATTAAGTTGCTCTACCAAAACAGACACAGATAGACAATGTTCTTTGAAGACTGTCTGTTTGCAAATCGTCAGAGTTATTGGGAACCTGAAACGGAATTAGGTATCTACACTTCGTAGTTCACAAGCTTAGATTTACCAAATGGTACCCCTTGAAGTGCCTGTTAGAGCACAGCTGAACCAAATTTAGAATGATGAGCTCAACTAATTCAAAGGAAATTGCTTTTGAGACGTAGTTCAATGAGATTTACAAACATGTTCTCTTATGCACACCAGTTCGAATGCTTCCGCACGTTTCGCAAAAGCATTGGACGGAGTGCGTCTTCCAGTTCATTCCGTATAGATATACCAATATTTCCCCACTTTTGAGCTTGGTGTTACGTTAATAGAGCAAACAAATTCCTCTGGCCGATCCGATTCAAATGTGATGTGAATTATTATTATTACTATTATTACTAATATCATTATTAAATTTCACATTTGTTTGAGTTCAAAATATGTTCCAAACAAGTGTTACGAAAATCTTTAAGGAAAATAGGTCTGAGAAAACGAGTCGGTGAGCGAACAATTGTTTTCGGATATTCCTAGTCATGCTCTTACATATCATATAGTGGAAAAAATTCTTACATAACGACAGCCGTTGGCTCAATTTAAGGTCATTAATCGGAGGCAGAGAGTAATGGAAAGTGTATGTGTGTGCATGTAGGAATGTTTAGCGTGTTAATTGATGCAACCTTTCCCCAAATAAGTCAAATGACACGTCATGTTCTGTCTTGGTTTTCACACCCGGCCAAAGCAATTGGAGCGCCTGCACCAGTCGTTTTTAGGCGCACAGATTAGGGCCTAGTAAGCGAATGGCGATCACCTCGGCCATGGTCAGTGTCCAATTGCGGGCCGCCTTTGATCGATTGAGTAGGATACGATAAACAACATCGAATGATTTCTCCGGTTGTATCTTGTGCCCGGTGTCGACGAGATGCCCCACGATCGCGCTTGAGTTACAGCCAGTCTTCCCCTGACTTAAACATCGCGGGTGGTGCTCCTTAACGCACTGTTCATGATGTTCTCGATCGTAGAATACATACTGGTTTGCTGCAGACTAAAGTGAGTAGGTGTTTTGGGAGTATGGGGAAATTCGCAACAGGTACTTTCAGCTAACCTACGCCTAACCCATTAAGCGAAGGAGTGGCAGGTGAAAAGTGCAATACATAAAAGTTATTACAGTAATAAATCAACAGAGAAATATGTATCAAATAAGATGTATTATTATGCTACGGAGAGAAATGTGTGTGTGTGTGTGTAGGTTTGCAGACAATGTCATGCGGAATGCTTTTTTCATTGCCGATAATGAACGAACTTCAAAATACGACGCAAAGGGCTTCCCGAACTGGCGATTGAGGTTGAATGCTTAAAGTATAACCTCCTTAGTCAATTAGAGTCAAGCCAAGACTCAATTTGAACTTTTACTGCAGTTTAAATTGATTTTACGAAGGATTATCTGTTTTGAACTTTAAGGAAGAAGTTCTGAAAGTTTGCAGTTCAGAGAAAAAATGCTTGCAACGGAGACTAAGTCAGCTTAAAATACTCAGGATGCATAGTGGACCGATTATTGAATTGACCAAACCTAAATCCTTTATGCATATTCACGCTATTTTAGGATTGCTAGTAGCAAATTTTCACAAATACCTGCAGATTCAAAAGGAAAAGTTTTGAGCGACAAAACATCGACCTTTTCTCATCAGATTCTTAAAATCGATGTAATCAGCAGCGTCTGCACATATAGGAATACCGATAACATCGTGAATCTGAGCTTGATGAATGACCTCTTCGGAAATCGTATTGATTAAGTTGAGAACACAGCGAAGTGTCCGTTCACCATCACCAGTCTATGAAGTTAAATGCATTCCTCACCGGTTGAAACGATGCATATATTGTTCTATCTGCGTGCTACTGGTCGTGAATGGAATTGGTTTTTTATTGTTTGTGCAGCATACTAAGTAAGTAATGCGTAAACAATAAAGTCGTTGTTATTTAAGTCTATATGTGCATCACGGATCAGTCAGACTCAATCTAACTTGCTTATTTTTTGTACCTCTGAATTACCAAGTGTACTCTTGTCAACGCAGGTGGCGAATTCCTGGGAGCTTTCGAGAAACGATGGTGATCAACTGGTTAAGATTATTGTTACAGTTGCCTGGAGGTCTTGTGTTCGAAGCTCACCATCGTCGCCCATCCACCCTACATATGTATGTTCCCAGGTAACAATAAACTGTTCTCATCCCCCGTCCTGAAACTGATTATATACATATGTGTGTGATGCACACAATTAGTTACAACCAAGGTCATATATGAGGTGGTTAACGACTCACTAAAAATAAGGTGGCCCGCTCAGTTGTTTTCCCTTTTGCAGTAAATTTCTTCTGATGACCGGAGATTTTTCCTATCAGTAAATCTTTGTGGAAAATAAATTTAACAGACTTAAGCCGCTCGTTTGACAGATGCAAAACATCCAGCTAGACGTGATTGATTGATACTGTACCTTTCGGATCTCTTTCGTAATTCTGCTCTGCTTAAAACGTTGTTTTCCAATCGAAGGCCTCATTTGCTGCTGTTCGATCAGAATATGCGGTGGTGGGGATCCTTTGGTTTTCAATTCCATCGGTAAGTTTTCCAACTGGAGCACGGTGATTGGAGCGGACACTGGGGGTTGCGCATCGTGAGTGCTCGAGAACAGGCTGGCAATTGTGGTCACTTCGGGATTATCCTCGGAACTTCCGTTCAGTGCTTTCACCCAATCACAAAACTCCGCCGTACTGGTGCGGAGGGTAGGATTCTGACAATAAATCCAAGTTGAGAATATTATTTGGTAAATAATCACTATGTTGACAAAATACTGGAAATCGGTTCTCGTTGCTCGGGTGAACTGAATTCCATTTAGCCTGTTCGCCGAGCTTGGCAATTTGTTTGAAACGTTTCATCACCAGCCTAGGTTACATCATCATTGCTTGTAAAGTGGTACCGATGATGTCACCTTGGCTGGTGATGAGACGTTTGCAAACACTGCCTAGCTCGGCGAACAGGCGAAATGAAATAATCAATATATTATTCAGAACGAGGGACCTGAAAGCAAGCAATATTCAGCAGGTCGCAACAAATACAGTTTACAATAGTGAAGTTTATTTATCGTGTTAACCGGAAAATTTCATATGATTACTCAGAACTATGGACGGTTCATAAAGTGAAACTCTTAACCATGAGCTTGTGTCAACTTTTCCCGTCATAAAACTGCAATGGGGAGTAGTATTCTATGGTTGTATGATAAAAACACTTTTGCTTTATTAGCCTTCTCACATTTCAGAGCTGGATTCGATGACGAATATCCATCCGGCACACCAATCTGAAGTGTATCCGTGAATGTGTAGTGACTGCGATGAAGAAAACTATCATGCTTGGATGAAGAAACTTAATGAGCAAACTATGAAAATGTAGCTACAATTTGGATTATGTTGGTCTGTTATACGGACTGAGAATCTTTGTTAGTGTTGTAGTATTCAAGTTGTATTTCTACCAGAATTCGGTTTTAACACGAATCGGTTGCATTTCGCAACAATGTTGCATCCAATTAATTATCGTGTCGACTGTGTGAAGCCGTAAGATTTTCTAGGTTGAGTGCGAACAACACAACGACAAAAACCATTTGTAATCATACATTCCAACCGCGCCAAACACTTCTCTGCATACACCCTCGTACTTCTTGCCTCATCCCTGAGTTGCTCCGCTGACTTATTTGATGTTTACTAGGTTTTACTACTTGCTCATTTACAGTAGTTGGAATAGAAAGGTATCAGGAGTGACCTGCAGAGAGATCTGTTGAGACACTACGGCAGAATACATAGATCGGAATAATAAAGGAATGACAATGATATCTCGCTAACACAATAAGATATACATGGGTATCATTACTACTTGTCATCCATTTCGCGTGATCTCAAACTGCTGTAAGCCCACATTTATACAAACAGCGTCAAACAAACCAGTCGAAATGTGTCGTTAAAAGACCGTGGTGGACAAGTGGATCAGGTAATCAGATTCGGTTACGAGGCAAAGCGAAACTAGACAAGAAAATTCAATACTAAGTGGTGTATGGTGGATAGGGAGGATAGATCAAGTCACCCAACACGGTGTGACGCAACAATTATCACGGTAACAACAGTTGAGTTACAACTGTGTTTCAGCACGTTCGTGGTTCCAAGCGGTCAATATTTGTCGCTTATGGGCATTGCCCAGTCAGTGACCTTCGAGGTTCCTAAACGCTTTTAGTGCGTCGGTTTGGCGACCGGAGTGTTGCAAATACTCTGCACTTGATGTCAGTTTTCCTGTACAAAGCCAAGGGTTTTGAGGACAGTCTTTTGTCTGTCCTATGTACGTATGGCTGCAGGTGCAATGAAAGTTGATAGTTAATATCCCACCAACAACTTCAAGATGCAGAATTTCTGGTGAAACAACGAATTATCACTCGTCCAGCCGCCCTATACGTTATTTGCATGGTATGTGTTAGACGACGAAATATTCTGGTTGCAGATCAATTTCTTTGAAAGGTATGTTGATGTAGAGGGTCTTTCTTTTTTCGGACTAAAAAAGTAAATTGCTGCCTATGTGACTGCACGCATGAGAATGGTCATTACCCAATCAATCTGTTGTATACATTATCAGGGTCTACCTATAGTTTATTTTTCCGGCCCGATAAATCGCAAAACTTTGTAACGTATCTGCATTAGCTTAGAGCAAACATCCCCACCCCCGAAAAGTGAACATCTCGTTTGGACAGGCAGATTCTTGCTTCAAGATATAGATTTGCTACCACACCATAGCCCTCTCTGAAGTGAACATCGAGGTGATTTATCTGGAACGAACTGAGAAACTCACAGTATAAACCTGTTTATTCCTACTGGAGTTGTCTGAAGATCGTTTACCCTTCCGAACCAAATCTCTACAGTCGGTAACGAATGAACAACTTATGCTTTACTCTCGGATACTTTTCATGCTCCGATTTGGTGAAAACCTAATTTTTTTCATTTTTACTTCCTTTCATTTAATATGCAATGATCCAATTTTCAGAAAGAGAGAAGCCGCCAATCAAAGGGCTGCACACATAACAGAAATGGAAAAGTCAGGCTGTAGTGGAAGGTTTCGAACACAGGTCCTCGGGAGCGATATTTTGGCGACGTTTACAACTCGACCAGCACATTAGTGGTTAACAGTATACATTCAGTAGTATGTTTGACGCAGATCGCTTCACATTTTACTTGACAATGGACTGGGGTACCGAGCTGATCAATGCAGCTGAGATTTCGAACCGATCAACCAGATGGTACTGGATGCGTGGGCGTCAGAGTACGGTGATCTGATTTGCGGTGATTCCTCCATCGCCACCCATGTAACCCCTATTCCTGATAAATGTGTAGACAGTGAGCAAATCCATAAATACCACGCGTTTTCTTCCCTACTGGATCACGTTTTGGCTGGCGCTACCGACAAAGGCTCGCATTGTTTCCGGCTGTCTTGTAACTGGACTCGTTGGGATATGCATCCTAAGATTAAGTTCTGTGATACTTTGGCGAGACACAACATAGGTGTTAGCAGCAGTGTGAATCCAACGACCCAACTTAGGATCGACCTCCGAACATCACAGGTGGAGCGCAAGCGCACTACCCGTTTGACCACCAGGCAGATGATCAAAACATTTTTCATTTTTACCAAAACATAATACAGCACAACCCATCAGCACAGCACACAGTCACAATTGCTCTGAAGTCATATGGAGGACCTCCAAGTTTGGCTTTCCTATGTGAGCTGCGAAAGGATTTTTCTAGGTCGTTCTACACCGCTTTTTATAAAAATAGAAAGCACAGTTTCGCGAACAAGTTTGTTTTCGGAGATTCATTTATTGCCTCATATATAGCATTTTATATCGTATAATTTTTGTGTAGCAGAAAGAACATGACAAACCATAAGTCAACGGGGAAGACTTGATTTTTTTCAAAGTTCCTAAAACCGGCTGAGAGTAAGTAACTACCCTCAATGGGGAAAGAAAACCGTGTGGTAGAACCTAAAGAGATTTGATCGGTGCTTCTGTCACAAAACACCCGTATAGTGTTCAACACAATTCACAAAAACCATATACTACTGACTAGCATGATATGTCGTAGCTCCCGGACTTAACCTCTTTTTGCAACACCTCAACAGGATGCGNTTGTGTTCAATCCTATTTTACACCAGTCGCATCAGGTGCTTTCGTTCCACCTAATGCAACACAACCATATGGGTGATCAAAACTTTTGTGTGTTTACGGGCAAATAACTTACCTCCAAGAAGATCTCTGGTTCCAATGCTTGTGCGAGCTTTATCCGTTCATTTACACGGGTGAAGTTCTTCACCGTTTTGAACTGTCTATAAAAAAGAAACAGATTTCATTTCAGTTTGTTAGGGCTCACATTGCCTCATCCGGTCTGGTCGCATTACTCCCCAGTCTGCCACCACCAGACCATTTTTGTTGTCCCATCCACGGTGTTCTGCGAGGTGAAGTTGCCGTGGTTTTGTAGACAGTCGCTTTTGGAGCATTCATTGTCTTATCGAGAATTTTGAATGTGGGACGAAACAACTGTTGGTCAACACAGAGGGATAACGTTAAAACATTACCAGAATTGCCGGAAAACCGGTGCAACATTTTACGAAAATTTCCAGCGGGAAATACGAAGACTGAATGGAATGCTCCGAACTATCCCTAGCTTGCGATTATATTTGTGGAGCTGGACTCGCATTCCCGGATGAAAGTTACTTGCCGATAGCCCGATGTGGCCACATGGCAACACAGGAAATCAGAACACACACGACAAAATGCTAACCTGAACTGAGTTCAAGTGTTACTGAATAATACCTGAGAATAAATGAAGTGGTGGGCAAAGAACTCAAAAGGGTTTAATACCGCTCGTGGATGAAGTACCACCTCCAGGGGGCTGTAACCAACAGGATCGTCCGTATGATTGCTCAAGCAGAAGGAGCCTCCGGTGAAAGACCTTGGGAGTGAGGCTACCGTTTGCCATAATAATTGAGATAAGCTTACTATGAAATAAGTGGGTCAACTTGTTTTGCAGTCACTGTTTATTATGGAATTTTAATTTTAGACAATGTATGCTTTAAACCAAATTGGAACAATATGCGAATTTGGTCAAAATCATCGGTAAAATCTGATTGAACAGCATTTTTCTTAGAGTAAAACTCATAAAATGATGCTACACTATCAACGGTTCTTTTACACCCATAGCTTTATGTCCAGATTAGTCGTGTTTTTTTTGTTATGTGTGGGTGTGATGGCGTGATGCTTTGGGTTGACTTCGATATTCATCTGCACAGTCGAAAAAACTGCGGGTGACGGTTGGTGAGTCGACAGTTATCTTTTTACAAACGAGAATAGATCGATACTACAAAGTTAGTCAATAGGTGACAGACCTCTTTGCATTCAAGCTGGTGAGGGTAGGATCGATACAGTCTGAGGTATAAAGTAACGTAAGATTGAAATGAAAAATACAAACTAGGTAAAATCTATATACTGCAGACAGAAGAATCCTAAAAAGACTATCAATAAGAGTGAGTTATCTTTCAATCAGCAACATGGGATAAATGTCAGTACCAGTTGGCGATACGCAATGAGAAAAGATTCATTCAGTTTTAAACACAATTTGTATGTTTAAAATAACAGATATCTGACAAATTAAACTGGTACATAAAATTCTGATTAGAAGATAAATTTGGGTTGTGCTTTGAAGGTCTTTCATTTTAAAGAAAAATGAAGGAATATTAGAGAACCAACATTAAGTGTATCATGGGAAAGTTTTGGAAGCATCTATTTCATCTATGTAATAAATCCTAACCATCGACATTCGCAGAATGATCTGAACTCTCAGACACTCCTTACGGTATTATCCATAGTATTATCCATAGTACACATGTATACAAACACAGACATTATTTAAGCTTTTTCTATTTCCTTGAATTATGGGATTTAGTGACCTATAAAAGAGTACTGTATTTGGTTAGTAAATGAGGCACGGAAAACGAGCTTGTTTGCCCAATTGACTTTTTGATGAAATTCTAACCAATTTACTTTGTCCCAGTAATGAAAAAATTGTGCATAAGTCGACAGATAGTTTCAGACGCGAACAATCTGGTTGCGATGCAACCAGTCAAGATTTGGGGCACGAAAATACGTTACAAATGAAATCAAAATTAAAAACAAATAACTATAGCCAACTTATAGTGAAAAAGTGGTTTACTTCTTCAGTGAGCAAGGCTACTTAAGTTTTCCGTGAAGGTAAGCTCTCATTCGTGTATGAGAATAACTTAGCTGATCGAAACAGCATCATTCATTCATGTATGCTCATGAACTGCATTTTTTTATTAAAACTGCATGAGTATTGAATGAAAATAAAACTTTTACCATTAGGTGCAATTATATGCATACTACTGGATATCCTGTCCAGAAGGTAATTCAATTGATTCTTGAAAAACTCACTTTAGGCGGTACAGATGCTTGTATGTACGGGAAGAGTATTAACGGGTGTTTTAACAAAGCACCCTCAATTTTCTCCACTCGCTGCTCATTTTGTATTCTTCGACTGATCTTCTCCTGAGGTGGACGTTTCGTTCCACGTTTCCCCGTAGATTCATTGGCATTTAGTAGGAAGGGGCCGATCAACCCATTTATCTGGAACAAACAGACAATATTGGATACCGAAACAAGTATCACAGTAAAACTAAACGAGGAAAAACACATTAGATACATGCTACAGCATCCTATGATCTTTTTCAGTGATGAGCTGTGTTCACACCGCTGACCATTGACAAAAGTTTGACCAAGTTATTTTAATCATGGGTATTTTACTAAGGCACACATCCAGACTGTGCATGCTAGCATTGAAAACTAAACTACTGTAGAGTCAGACTTAAATTTGTGAATCCTTTGCTTCTTCCGTCTTATCGGGTACCGGGATAACAACAACAACAACAATCTATCGTCTAAGATTTGTGGATAAGGAAAGTGTGCATGACGAAGCTCATTTAGTTATTCCGAAACGGCAATCCCCTGACGTTTGAGCCTAGTATTAGCAAAAAATCAGTTCTGCTTTGGTACTTAGAAAAATGACTTAATCACTCTCGGAATTTTCTCTACTGAGATTAAAAGACCACACACACACATACACACAAGATGCCGTGTCCCCGAAGTATCCGATCGTGATTTACTCTACCGGTCTAATGCATACTCGAATAGATCATTATTACACGAAAAGAGGATTATTGGCGTATGGCTTCTGATCGACTTCTTTTGTCATTATCATCGCAACCAAAAAGTAAAAATGTGCAATTTATTCAATTAAATATTCATCCGAATAACATGGACAGTAGTTGAGGGGAATATGTAGCATCATTATATGCTTATTTCGTCGTTTGTTTCGTCTCTTATGGAAAGATATACAATGAATAAGGTATACCGCGTGAGATTTAAAATAATGCGTTGTTTTTCTGAAGAATGTTATCAGGTGTTATGAAGCTTCGTGGAGGTGATTTTCATTTGATCGCATTGTGAAAAACTTCCAACTAAGAAGGTTACTATACCAATTGTCTTGTTAGCAATAAATTTATAGTTAGGGGTTAATTGTCTTGGGAACAGAGGGCATGACGTATTACCTTCAGCAATATTTCGGTTTTTAATTGAATTTTCTGCAATAACCTAAATATCTTTATAATTATTCATAAGGTATGAATGTATTATGCTTATGATTTTTCAATGGTAGTAATTATTAAATAATTGGTTTCGTTTTACAAGGGCCACTGACCTCAAATAATGTTGTCAGTTCATTGTCGCATGTTGGAGCATAAAATTCCCGATGTTTGACTCGTCATGCAAGCTTCAAGTGGACAGTAGTGACCAGAGTAAAATCCAACTGCAGTCATCACACGGTCATTTCACAAAAGATTTATTAGTCCAGTTAAATAACATCTGATGAGAACACCTTCTGACATTGTTGATTTCTATAATGAGTAGTATATGAATGACTGGACCAAATTTCCCAGAAGCGCACAACCGGTTTCCCGGTCCTTGCCGCGAAAAAGACTGAAAATCGGCCCTAGGGTCGACTTGGATGAGGTTAGGCGCATCTATTCCATACCACCTGAAAGAGAGTCATCGCAATGATTCTTCAATAATTGTTCGTCTCATTATTCACTCTCCGAGCTGCAAATGTGATTTGCATTGCATAATTATTAATTTCTTTTTCTTCAGAACTACGAATAAGTGTGGTGAAATCCTGTTTTATTGTACATGCCAAGTTTCCGTTGATTACCGTCCGATTCCTTTGTTGAGTGCTGTTTTCTGATTTCATTCCGAGTCCTATTGTTGGGTTGGACTATTACTGCGCGGATTTCGATACGTATACGAATTACTAGTCCGAATGCAAACCACAACAGCTGGAATCGCGGTCGTTTTGATCCAATGGATTCCTGTGATTTGCAAAACCTGAATATTCATGCCAGTGCGCGTGAAGCTGAAAATTATTTTGAACGATTCAAGATTTTGTGCATTATGCTGAAAGGACTTGAAGCAGAACGCAAAATGGCTAATTTCCTAACGGTCCTGGGAAAGGATGCATATTCTCTGTTGAGGAATTTAGCTTTTCCTGGCACTCCCATATCGTTGTCATATGAATCCATGAAAATCTTTCTGCTGAGACATTTACAGCCAGCTAATTTCAAAGACGCTGAGCAAGCAAAATTTCATTCGCTCACACGTGATGGAAACCAACCCATACGGGACATTATTCTTCAGCTTCAAACTCCAGCATCGCGTTGTAATTTCGGAGATCAACTACAAATCCAGCGATGTGATCGATTAGTTGCTGGTATCAATTGCCCTGAACTCCAGCAAAAGCTCTTGCTCATGCATAATTGCAAATTTCAGTCGGCTACAGCAGTTTGTGAACAGTACCAAGACGTCCGTGCTATTGTTCGTGATGAACCCAATGTATTGTTTAATGCTTCTAATTCCAAACAGTCACCGTCCCGACGAAAGCGGTTTTTCGAAAAGGGCTCGAAACTACCGAGCAGTTCCAGTTCTCCAGCCCACGGTAACCAACGGATTCAACGTTGGAACAAGTGCAAGTCTTGTGGTCAAAGACATTCGCGGTTAACCTGGAGATTTCGTAATGCCAAGTGTCACAAGTGCGATAAGCTTGGCCATATTCAATCTGTCTGTGAAAGTGCGAAGTCATGTCTTACAAAAAGTATGACCGTTCACTCCTCCAAAGATTTATTGTGTGATTTAGTCTTTAGCTCTACCCAGTACAAGTTCACATCCCTCTTACCATATCACTCGTTATTTAATCATTAATGACTCCACTCGCCCTACATTCATCATGGACACCATTCGTGTTGATTCTTTCATTTCCAACATGGTGTGTCATCAGTTAAACCCTCAAGTTGGGCTTTCCCTTGTAGACAATTCAGTAAAGGGCATTACTGTTCTTTCTCTGCCCGTTTTAGGATCATGTGGACCGTTTCTTAAAGATGATCAATCATAGACATTTCACTATCCGTTTTTGGTTATCGATTCTGATATTTCTATAATTAGTGTGAATTGCATGAAACGTATGCATCTGTCGCTTTCATTTATGTCTGACTCTCATCAATCACGCCTTCGTCAATTAGTACTCGAATGTTTTAAGGCGAAGGGTGGTATCAAAATGACTCCTGTGAGTCTAGAAGCAACTAGTTTTCCGGTCTTCATGAAACGTCCGATTATCCCACTTGGACTTCGTGAGCCCGTAAAAATCTGACACCAGTGAGTTCTTGGGCTTGAGCCACGCCAATTGTTACTTCACTAAAGCGTGACGGGAAGACTCCTAGACTATGTGGAGATTATCAAGTCCCTGTGAAGAGGCAGCTGAAAGAGTCTAGTTGTGCCACTGTCGAACCAGAAGACATTCTGCACCCACTTCATGGATCCAAGTTTTTCTCTAGTCTGGACTTAAAAGATGCGTTTCTTCAAAGTCCCCTTGATGAAAAGTCACGTGAACTTACGACTATCAACACACTTTTTGGTCTATTGCGTTACAATTTTCTATCGTTTGGACTCAGTGTCCCCCGCCATTTTCAGACTACCATTAATTAGATGATTTCCGGTTTACAAGGTGTATGCACCTATCAGGATGATATTATTGTTCATGCTATTAGCAGACATGGCAAACGCTCGTGTGCTTGGCTTGAGAGATTTCGTTCTCATAATGTTGCTATTAATCCTGATAAGTATGCCTTTTCGACGGCTACACTTTCTTGCTTAGGTTATTTGGTTGATGAATCTGTATTCTGTTCTGACCATGATCGATTTTCTTTCTCCACCTCCCAGGTCATTCAATGAATTTCATTCTTTAATTGGTTCTTTGAATTCTATGTTTATTTCCAATTTTTCAACTCAAGATACCCCATTGTTTGACTTGCAGTCACAACAAAAATTCTTGTGGACTTCGGTCCATGTAAGTACCCTGAGTAATTTACTTTCCTTTATCTACCAGTGCTTTGTTACGTCCTTTTTCCCCAAGATTACATTCTACCGTCATCACGGACGAATCGCCCGTTGGAATTGTGTTTGAGCAGAACTTCCTAGCGTGCGATGGTGTCGGGTGTTGCATTGATCGTATTATTGTACCTCCGATATTACTGCTGTTCTGGATGACTTACATTCCGGTCGTCTTGGCATTGAAAAGATGAAGTCTCTTGCTCGTCCCACATGTTGATGACCTGAATTGAATCATGGCCTGAATCTTGTTGCAAATTCTGTGCTGACTGTGTGCACAAAGCTTATAGACAGGCTTCAAAATGGACTGCGTGGCCAGTATCTTCCGGGTCATGGCAACGAAAACGTGGATTATTGTGGTCCATTCTTCAACAAGTATTACTCATTGGTAGTCGTCGATTCCTATTCCCGTTGGCCGAAAATCTACTTCACTACATCACCCAGTGAAGAATTTACCATTCGAGCACTCCGGAAAACGTTCAGTAGAGAAGGTGTCCCGCATGCTATCGTGACTGACAATGGAAGTCATTTTACTGCCAAGAAGGTTACCAATTGGTTGAACTCCGTGAGTTGTCAGCATTTTCTCATTCCACCCTGATATCCATAATCCAATGGTGCANGTGCAGCCGAGAACTGTGCGCACACTGAAGGGTGCCATTGCTTCCGCGAATCCCAGTACCTTCGACGAACTGGACAGAAGCATCGATAACTTTCTGATACAATACCGCAACGCGGTACATTCAGCTACGGGGCACATTCCAGCAAGGCTGTTCAAGAGTCGAAAACTTCGAGCAAATCTTCTACAGTTGGAGTCTGCGGAAGTCGTGTAGCATCGTGGTAACAATTTACGACCCTCCAGAGGCATTGTACAGCGGAGTATGTCGAATTTTGCATCTAGACGATGGTACTGTATATCGTAGACACTTAGACCACACAATTTGTGATTTGCCCAATCCTGATGCTAATTGTGAACGTACTAATCCTGTTATTTATGAGTCTTTTTCAGATGAATTTCATTCTAGTACAAATGTTGAAAATAGTGCAGAAGTACGCATAACATTCGAACGGTTGTTCAACAAAGCCGTCTGTGTTTACCGAAAACTGGTGCTTCATTCAAGCTGCGGCGGATGTGGTGATTGCACATAAACTATGAACTCCTATGTTTTATTAAACACGATATCCTTTTGCATGCCAACTTTCCACTGATTACAGTTCGATTCCTTTGTTGAGTGCTGTTTTCTGATTTCATTCCGAGTCCTATTGTTGGGTTGGACTATTACTGCGCGGATTTCGATACGTATACGAATTACTAGTCCGAGTGCAAACCACAACAGTAAGTTACACATTTTATATGAACTACGAATAATTAAACCACCTGTCCGTATTGATAGCAGCTCACTGTGATCATGGTATACACCAAACCAGAGTAACTCGAAATGCAAACATTTTAGATACGGGAGCAATAGATCCATGTTCACCCCGATGATTTTCAACAACTAACGTCACAAACCGGTCTTAATGACACCTTGGTTGACGTGACACTGTCAGAAAACCTTCAGCTTGTAGCCTCGTCCTGAATGACAATTTAATGATCTTGAATGTCTCTGGACAGAAACTGAGAAGAAAGAGGCTTGTCGTCAGATCACTGGTGGTAACTGTTGTTTCTTAACAAATGAAAAGCCATTCTTAAAATTTTCAACATAGCACCCAACAAAAATTAAAAACTGACTTAACCCTTTTTAATTTGTTGAAATAATCCCACAGAGCACATTTCAAACAAAACAACAGAGTGGCGAACAAGCTCGTTTTCAGAGATTCGTATTCATGCCAATACATCTCAATATATATCACTACTGGGGAATAAAATTGTCATGGGAAAATAAAACAAAAACAGATTACTAAAACCTATTCCATCGTGAGACCGGAAATCGGGTTCACCACGATCACATGTTTGTTTGTCCACTCGTCCGACCATCGAGATTACTCACGATGCGGTTCGTATGGGGGGTGGGCCAGGGAAGCTTTAGCGCTTGCACAAATTGTTTTTGGGCACACAGAAGGGGTGATGCAGACATCTAGAAACGGTAATTTGTGGTTGCATTCCATTTCTAAAGTAAATGTTATGTTGGGATGCGCATTGTTGAACCTGTTTATTAGTTCCGTTGCATTTGATGTTGCACCGATCACACAATAAATATCATCTACATACCGTGTGTATAGTATACAGTCTTCGATGGATGATTGTAATTGAGTGTTTTTAAGCTTCGCCATGAATCAATCCGCGAAAAGCGGTCCCAGCGGAGACCCCATGGCTACGCCATCCTTTTGTCGATAGATCTCATCGTTAAACTTGAACTGAACATTATACGTGCAGAAATAAAGCAGTTGTTTAAGGTCGTCCACAGGGAGGCCGAGCTCTACATTATTGGTTTGTAAATAACTGTACAGGTATTCAATCTTTTCGCCGATGGGAACGTTTTTGAACAACGAGATGACGTCTAGCGAGAGCATTGTTCAATCGACCAAGTTTATGTCACGAATTTTGTCCACAAAAATAAATGTATCTTTGACACAGTGTTTTGCCAAACTAACTCGAACGGGTTCTAACAATTTGGCCAACCACTTTGCCAAGGCATGATATGGTGAGTTGCACATATCCAAAATTGGTCGTAATGGCACTCCATCTTTGTGTACTTTTGGCAATCCACATAACCTCGGAATAACAGTCCCAATTGGCCTAATACGTTCGAAAAGGGATGCATCAATGACTCCTCTCTGCTTTAAGCATCGCAAAATCTTGGAAAGCGCCCCTTCTAGTTGAGTCGTCTTATCCTTTTCCGTCAACTTGGTGAATTTTGCCTTTTAAATTTACTTTTATCTTCATGCTTTTATTAACTCAAGATGATTAAACACACTTTTTTGAGCCATACCTCTTAAACTTTCTTATACTATCTTCACACTACAGTGTGATGAGAAGGAAGTGGCCTTGATGCGGTAAAACAATGAGATGTAAAAGAGGAATGTTACATGTAGAGGGCAAGATACAGTCAATCTCCTGCTATGTCACATCCCTCGGGAATTCGAAAAAGTGGGTAAATTCCAGGAACTGCGACATAACAGGGTAAACGGTAGTAGATGCTAATAAGTAGTATAAAAATCGGTTGACAGCTTTGTGACTAAATAAACCGGATTGACGAAAAGTAGGTTACTCCCGTTTGTCGTTCCAAATAATTATAATTATAAGTTGCTTATTCATAACGGGACTTAGACCTTCCATCCTGCGCATACTTTATGTATCGAAGAAATTTAAATCTTTTATGATGCCCCCAGCCTAATATCGGCACATTGCATACGGCATTCAGCCCTTTTCAATTCGATGTGTCTAGTTATCCCGAAACTACCTACCTTTCTTCAGGGGAATTCTTTCTGACCCAATTATCCCATATTAATTTCAGATATTCCCAGATTCGGTTGCAATACCAGACTAACCGCGAATTGATTACATGAGGTCCACCATAATATACATCTGCTTTAGCTATAATAGTCACATCAGTTTTAACCCATTCAAGGAAAACAAAGTTCGAATACAGTGAGAAGGAAATTACATATAAAATAAGCGAAATATCTGTTACGGGGTATACTCAGAACATTGAATTTTTTCCCATATTCAAACTGATTATTCGCTGTGCAATCTATTCATGATTTTCCAGTGAAAAATGTGTAATATTAGCGTCTGTAGACGTCTGTTCGTTCGTTCACTTTTGTTGTTACCGATGTCTATTCAAACCGATTGATGCATTCAACATGACCATTGTTGGTCGATCTAAGTTCAACACGCGATGCCATAACGTGACTCAAACCATTGATTTTTCAATTTAAGATGTCCAAGTATCAGTTGGGTGGTGGTGGACAAGTGGCTAAGTCACCAAATTATGTCCCGGAAGTCCCGGGTTCGAGCTGCTCCATCGCCGCCCGTCTTCCTTATTTCTGTACTTTCCCCAGACAGCCTTTATATAGCCGCAGCAGCCCTCCTGAAAGTTGACCGTACATTTGTATATACAGTGAATAAAAAAAGGAAGTACAATGAAATTTACATTTTTTTAAAGATGTCATGTTGCTATGTGAATAGTATGGTAGTCCGATTACGCCATCGTTTCACATTGTCTTGTACTTCTTGTGATGATCTTGTTGTCATGTGCAGTCCATTCGTGTGGTGAAGGCACGCCTGCTGTACAACCGAATTTCACTGGGCCTGTTAAAGACTCGCGGTTGTAGACAAGGTGTGTTTTCTCGCTCGGGTTAGGTGGATAAGCGCCAGGTCTTTTGTTGCGGTGACCTATTCAACCGATCGATAAATGAACCCGATCGGTCGTGTGATTTTCGGGCCGGCATGGGAGGAGGATAAGTTCTGAACCGGAGGCTGCATAAGTGTTGGTGAGATTCAGTTGTGGAACGATGCGCCATGTGGGAGATTAGGAATACAAAACCGATGATAACACTGGGTCAACGTTTGACTGGTCTAAGATACACGCACTCCTGTTCAGCTAACCGAAGGCCATAGACGCCAGCCAACAGGAATTACGGCAACTGATTCATAAATTGCACCTCACAATCTGTCCTTAGCCCCGGGTTACGATGACCTTTGTCAAGTGACCTGATTAATTTCATTGGTGTTCTAGTACAAGTGATTTGGTTTGTCTCAGCTTGGCTCTCCTTTGGAAATCAACAAACGCGCTGTTTAAATCAATAATCGACCGGAACTCCGAGCATTAGCCAAGGCAAACAGCTTCAATTGATCCGGTAACCTTTGTGTCTCTCTGATTGAGATAACATCCGGCGCATTCACTGCCTCACATTCATATCCTTCTGTGCAATGCTTAGCTTGCCTGGAAACGAATTCATCTGAAGAATCATATCTGTACAGCGGATGTATTCTATAGATGTGGATTCCCTTTTCACTAATGTTCCACTTCATGAAACAGTCGATTTTTTATGTGATTGTATTTCTTCAAGTAATTTTTCCCTTGCTATTCCTCTTGAATACGTAAGAGAACTAATATTTTTATGTACCGAAAACACGTTTTGAATTCGAGGGAGCCACATATAAACAGATTGATGGTGTGGCCATGGACAGTCCATTAGGCCCAATTCTAGTCGATGCATTTTTAGGAATGATTGAACAAATTCTTGCTAATAATATTTCTCAGTCCACCTT